TTTCGTTTTTACCTATGTCTACACTCGCATGCACTTCTCTGGAGAAAATCCTGGAGGAGGAAATGGTTCAGAAAACTTGGTTTGGAGAAAAGGTAAGTTTTAGACCCAATAAAAGTGAAGTGAATATGGAAGAGTGGTTTGTTTTTCCAGAAAAATTCAGGCTTAAATGCTGAATGCAAAGGTTTGTGGTTTCTGTTTTTGCTAATCAAGGCTGAACAGTTACCACTTGTGATAGTCTTTTATCCTACATTATACTTCTGATGAATTTTTAAAGAAATTAATCTCTCAAAACTTAGCAAAAAGAATAAAAGTCAATAAATCCATGGTATTACGGCTATATCTTTTCCCGTTTACTGCATTATTTAACCCACATTATAATTTGAAAATTTATCTTGGAACTTTAACGTTGTAGATTGCAAAATAAAAAATAAAAAATAAAAAAAAATCTAGGGCAAAAACAATGCAGTGAAGATCCCTACTTATCTATGTGATGTAATTACTTTTTTTCCCATCAGTCCTAAAACAGAAAGAGCAGATGTCTCACCACGAAACTAGCAAATGGAATGAAGAAAGAAAAAATTGGTTATAATTTGGACAAACTAATTTGTTGAGGGTTTATTGGAACACCTGCCCCACTGGCTTGTGCCAGCTAGTTTCTCCTGTAAGATTTATTGTCAGGGCCTGGGATACTGATATAGAAGATTAAGTTTGAAATGTCAACCTTTACTTAGGGGAGGAAGGGAAAGATTCGTTTCTAAGTGACTCAATGTAACATCAAACTTTTGAACTACAGTGAGAATCCAGGATCAACTTGTGACTATGATTGGCAGATTTGAAAAGATTTCTGGGAGTCGTTGAAAGGAAGTTTGCTCTGTTAATGTCATCAGGGTTAGGGATTTACTAGACCTAAAATTCTGTGCTGTCAAGTTGATGGCCTGGGCTGAAGAAGTTTTAGAAGAGGTAATTTCAAGTTGCTGAGGAAGGAATTTAGCTTTTTGGCAAGAATTAATAGGGCTTTATCAAGGAATAAGGTGCCTAGAAATGGTCATACTTAAGTTTGGGGCAGAATGGGGGTGGGGGCTAAGAACGATCCACATGTATCATTGGGCTCATGAAAATCATTCAGAGACTTTTCTGCAGCACAGCATATTGCTAGTTCCTTCCAGCCCTCCCTTCACTAATTCTGTTTTCTGATCTAAGCTAATATGCACATACTTGTCTTCCTCAAGAGACGCCACTGTCTCAGCAATTAATAAAATACTTGCTTATCGAAGAAAGATATATATTTCTGGGATTGCCAGAATCACTTGTGACCTCATAGGGGTATTGATTAGAGCCTTATATTCTAAGGCCAAGGATATGGGTGTGAGTTTTGTACGGGCCTGTTCCCAAAATCTGCATCATTTTTCTTCTACTACATGCATGTAGGTTTCTTATTAAATATGAGTCCTTGGTCACAGTAGCAATAACTGACAGTGGTTCCAACAGTGCAGATCATCTCCTGGAAAAGCAAAGTCTGTGCCCTCCAGAGTAAAGGAATCACCTCCAAAACCCCTGCATTTTATCTCTGCGTTTGTATTTGTTGTATAAGTGGGAGGGATGTTTTTTTTGGGGCAGTGAAAGTCCTCTGTAAAAATGAGAGTAAGATGGTCATAACCATTTCACATAGGGAACGTATCTTTTTTTAAATGTTGAATAAGTTATAAAAACTTCAAAAATACGTACATACCACATTATATCACTAATATTAGACACAATTTTTTTTCTCATTCTCTTGTTGCCACACTATTTTCATATATCGGTGTGTCTCGACAAAAGCGTATTTTACAAAAGTACGAGATTCACTTTCGTCGTCTACGAAGCACTGCATGATACACCTGCTAGAACTCAATAAATGTTTGTTTAATAGTGACTCATTAAATTGACCCAATATGTTTGTTCCTTCCTTTTCTCCCATCCCATTATAGTCCTACAAAATTAGTTCTGTGTTGTGGCTTTTGCAATCCGTGTTTTACCAGGCTGTGCGTAGTTGAGATTGTTTGCAGAGGACATTGAGTAACCTGCCAGTTCTGAGAAGTTTCTGACGTATGCTTTTCTAATTACTCAAAAGCAAATGAATGCTTGACAAATGGGATCGTTGTCTTTTTTCCCCAGAGCAACATAGAAAACCTGACTACACATAAAATATTTTTCATCTTTAATGGGAAAGAAGTATTTTGCCTACACAGACCTCCCCGCAACCCCTCCAAAAAAGAAAAAAAAATAGGAAAGAATCAGTAGAAATCATATCTTATCTGATTAAAGCTGTGCATTTCTATAAGCAGTCCTGCTTCCTGTGTAATCTGGAGTGAATTAAATTCAATTTCATATTGAAGAGATGACCATCACTAATTTATTCATTTTGGGTAACTTAATAATAAAACATTTTCAAAGAAGGTTTGTTTATTGGTCGACTTGCTTATTCTTTTCTTTTTATGCTGTTTTTTCTTTAGAAATTTCACAAATAACATCATAATCATAGTACCAGGAAAAAAGGATTTGAAAAAAGTTTACCCACAATCCTGTTAGCCCCCGAATCTTTCCTTGGTTTTCCTTGCTTCCTTCCAGATCCTTTCTCTTTAAATATGCAATAGTTGTAGAATTTATGTCTTTTACTCATAAAAGTCAAGGTTAATTCAGTCCTCCACCATAGGCATGTTTTATCTGGTTAAATGACAAATGGATATGCTGCACTTTGTTTATCAATTGTGTTCCCAAAGTTGTATATGACATGTCCCATTTTCACGTGATCTTAAATCATTAGTGAACTTCAGTGTGTCTTTGTTTCTGAGCACTTTTCAGTTGGCCGTGTGGTCCCTAATCCTTGGTCTTTGTGCATCTCTGTATAAAAATGCTTAAATATTACAGAAGCTCAGCATTTAGTAACTACCTTTCCCATCCCTCCTGACCCCCTCGGTTGGCCTTTATGTAACTTCCACTTTTTACTTCTCAGTTCTTTTTAAGCAGAACGCTTATCTTCTAGCTATATGAGAACGGGCTATTTAAGGGTTAGCCAGTGGTAGAAATTGATATACATTTGATTTATGGAAGTGTTGATAGTTTTGACTTTGAAAACCTGACTGTTGGTAAAACTGGAGGTGTCAACATATTTGCAGATTTTCCCACAAGCGTTTGTGAAGTGTCACGCTTTGGCACTCTGACGGGTGGCACAGAAGATACTGAAGATGTGTAAAAGTTTATTTTTATCATCGAGGAATGTTTCACCTATTTTTTCATTTCTCCTTAGGCTTTTCTCCATATTCTTTGACTTACCTGCTTTCACTATTGAAAGCTTGTATTTATATTTATATTGATGTGTGGATAATGTTCCTCAGCTATTTCCTAATCTGCTAAGTTATATGTTTTGGTAGACAATCGGATGTACAGCTCTTTCATTTTTAATATTTCTTTTGCATATAAGTTGTACTTATTCATTGGAGACAAATTAGAAATAGGTATTAGCAATATAATATATGAAATACAGAGATGAACCCATCTTCTAAATATAATTACTCTTAATATTTTGATATGTTTTGCTTTAAGCCTTTTTACTGTAATATATGCCTATGTATTTTTTCTTAACTAATATTCTTATCTTGTTTTGTAACCTGATGTTTTTTCAGTGTTACATTGTTTAGGCTTGCAGGAGGTGGGGAGTGTGACTTTTTGTCTACTTTATTCATTCCATTTTTAAAAGAACGTAGAATAATATTTGGCATGGACTTTGGACTTATTTATTTAGAAATCTGAAATATAATAAGCTTGTGTATTTTAGTACAAATTCATACTTAAAGCATGGTTGAATGGCAGTTTTAGATTTCAGCAAACTTTGAGAGGTAATTTTTTTAAAATTCAAAAAAGTTCACATCTGCTTCACATTCATTATTTAAAATGAAAACAGAGAAGCTCACACGTGCTTGATAAATCTGGAGAATACGAAATGATTAAGTTTTTACATGCTTTGAGACGATAGCTAAGTCCTGTAAGGCTAGAGACCCCATCTATGTAAGACATCATTGTACACATATTCCCAGCACAATTCCTGGTGTTTAGTAAGGCCTGAAAAATCTGGGCCAGGCATGGTGGTTCATGCCTGTAATCCCAGCGCTTTGGGAGGCCAAGGAGATAGGATTGCATGAGCCCATGAATTCAAAACCAGCATGGGCAACATAGTGAGACCCCATCTCTACAGAAAATAAAAAAGTTACCTGAGCATGGTGGCACATGCCTGTGGAACCAGCTACTCAGTAGACTAAGGCGGGAGGATTGATTGAGCCCAGGAAGTTGAGACTTCAGTGAGCTATGTTCATGCTACTGTGCTCCAGTCTGGCTGACAGAGTGAGAACCTGAGTTAAATGGATAGTTGAAGTACAGATGGACAGAACCTAAAAGATGAGGCAATTCACTCCCTTCCTTGTAGTGAGAACGAAATTAGCCATCTCTGAAATATATTTCTATCAACATATCCTTTGAAAATTTTTAGCTTGGACATGGTGGCTCACACCCATAATCCTGAGGCGGAGCTACTCCAGAGGCTGAGATGGGAGGACTGTTTGAGCCCAGGAGGCTGAGGCTGCAGTGAGCCAAGATTGTGCCACTGCCCTCCAGCCTGGGCAACAGAGTGAGATCCTGTGTCCAAACAAAAACAAAAACACGAAATTATAATATGCGAACAAGAATGGCAAATCTTTTTAATCACCCAAGGCTGCTATATTCCTTTGCTTGCCACATAAGCCATTTATTGCAGTCTCATAAACGGACATGTGTCTACAGGAAATTGAACTACAGGAAATTCGAGGCTCTGGTTATTAAACCTTCCTTCTGACTGCTCTGGGTCACTGCATCTCTTCTAACAAGTGAAACGCACACACAGCCTCGCTCTAATTGTGCCTGGAAGCTGGGTCACCAAAGGGAGGGATGATGATTCCAGATCAGCTTCTAACCTCCTCCCTTCCGCTCAGGTTGCCTTCATCAGACGTCACAATGATTCCCTGCAGAGCCGCGCTGACCTTTGCCCGATGTCTGATCCGGAGAAAAATCGTGACCCTGGACAATCTAGAAGACACTAAATTATGCCGCTGCTTATCCACCATGGACCTCATTGCCCTGGGCGTTGGAAGCACCCTTGGTGCTGGGGTTTACGTCCTCGCTGGGGAGGTGGCCAAGGCAGACTCGGGCCCCAGCATCGTGGTGTCCTTCCTCATTGCTGCCCTGGCTTCGGTGATGGCTGGCCTCTGCTATGCTGAATTTGGGGCCCGTGTCCCCAAGACGGGGTCTGCATATTTGTACACCTATGTGACTGTGGGAGAGCTGTGGGCCTTCATCACTGGCTGGAATCTCATTTTATCGTATGTGATAGGTATGTTTCAAAAAGAAGTCTAACGTGTGGAATGGAAGAATTCGCAGCCCTATGTCACAGCCCTTAGGTTCAGTTGTAGGTGTTGGGTACATCACTTGATGTCTGTGTGTCTCATTTTTGTCATGTCTAAAATGTCTCCTTCTAATTACAGAATTTCCTGGGGTTTTTTTAAAGACAGTCTGACTCTGTCACCCAGGCTGAAATGCGGTGGCGTGAACTTGGCTCACTGCAACCTCCGCCTCCAGGGTTCAAGCGATTCTCCTGAGTAGCTGGGATTACAGGCACCTGCCACCATGCCTGGCTAATTTTTTGCATTTTTAGTAAAGACGGGGTTTCACCATGTTGACCAAGCTGGTCTCGAACTCCTGACCTCAGGTGATCCACTCACCTTGGTCTCCCAAAGTGCTGGGATTGCAGGTGTGAGCCACGGCACCCAGCCACACAATTCTGTGATTTTTGCTTCATCTTTGACTATGCCTCTTAATGGACTTGCAGACTTTTTAAGTTACAATTCTTTATTGCAAATAAAGTTACCACATTCCACAGTTATGGATTTGAACATTTGATGACTATTGCATGATTATAAATATCCAGATACTGTATATGTGATTAAAATTTTCAATCTTTTGTGAACTCATGTTTATCCTGTAATAGAGTAGCAAACAATGCTATGTTAATTTGCCCCCAGTGACTTCGTATCCTCTGTTCTGTTTTGGGAAGGTACGTCAAGTGTTGCAAGAGCTTGGAGTGGCACCTTTGATGAACTTCTTAGTAAACAGATTGGTCAGTTTTTGAGGACATACTTCAGAATGAATTACACCGGTCTTGCAGAATATCCTGATTTTTTTGCTGTATGCCTTATATTACTTCTAGCAGGTAAGAAAACCAGTTATGCCTCTCCCCAGGATGAGCCACACTATTTGTCTCAGGAAAATAGGTTACTTCTGAATTTGGGGCCTGAGTTCCCAAGACAAGGTCAGTATATTTATACATTTATGTTACTGTTAGACATCTGTGGAGTTTATCACTAGCTGGAATCACATTTTAACCTAAGTCTAAATTGTGTGCAGTGGTAAAAATAGCGCTTCTGAGTAAATGGCACCTGGTACACACTAAATAATAGGATGAGGACATTGATTTTTTTAATAATTAATTGCAGGTTTGCAGGAATAGCGGTGGTTTCAGTAAGGAAGAATGTATACTTTCTTGGCATTGTTTCGTCTTACTAGATACAACTAGGGATATTTGCAATTTCTAGAACAAATTCTGTTTTTCTGACATCCTTCATCTATATAACATAGGCCTTTGGTTGTAAAGGAAGCAAGTTCAAATCACCTGTCATTTTGTAATGTTGACATTATATAGACAAACATACTTAGTACTAGGATTTTTCAGTTTTTGTCATTATGGTAGCACAGTGGTTTTAAGAGGCACAGGAATTCGAATAACCAGATTTCGATCCTGCTGTGCCACTCACTCCCTTTAGAACATAGAACAGTTTATATAATCTTCCCCTCACTCAGTTTGCTCATACATAAAAAGAGGTATCAGTGTCTGCCTCCTTCAGCCTTCTCATCTGGTTCCTAGTAAGCACTCACATGGTGGTCAATTCTATTTCATAGGCATAGCTAATCCCTGCTCTGTCTCCTTATATTTGCTTTAACTGTTTAAACATTTTCTTTTTTTTTTTTTTTTTTTTTGAGATGGAATCTGACTGTGTCACTCAGGCTGGAGCGCAGTGGTACTACAACCTCTGTCTCCCGGGTTCAAGCAATTCTTCTGCCTCAGCCTCCCGAGTAACTGGGACTACAGGTGCCGGCCACCACGCCTGGCTAATTTTTGTATTTTTAGTAGAGACAGGGTTTCACCATGTTGGCCAGGGTGATCTCAAACTCCTGACCTCAAGTGATCCCCTTACCTCAGCCTCCAAAAGTGCTGGGATTATGGGCGTGAGCCACCATGCCTGGCCACGTTTTCTATTTTGAGTCTCATTCTTACCTGCAATCCTGCTTATACCTATCAAGGATTACACTAAGTAAAAACCGTGTCTGTTCCTACTTCTTACTTGCTTTACCCTGAGCAATCTGCCTCATGCTTTCTTGTCCGACTTTATCTCTGCTTTCTCCCTTGTTAGAAGAGTGAGACAGAAATATCTTTCTCTTTTGAAACGTTTACTAGAAAATTATATAATTTTGAAAACAGCTTTACCTTTTAAAAAGTGAATCATTAATTAAATGTTTTATATAGGGTTAGGGATAAGAACATGAACAAAGTGTATAGGTCTAAAATGTTTTGCATTTTGATTCTAACGTCAAGAGAAATTGCATCAATTGTTTTTCAACAAAGATTGATTTTTGTTTTGGTTTCTAAGCAGTCTAGCTTAGAAATAGAAACTGGTCTAGTGTTAGATTATTTACATTGTATTTTATTTATTTACATCATATTTTATTTATTTACATCATATTTGATCATTTTAATGAACTTAAAATATTCAACTCTAATCTCTAAATGATGAAAAAGCATGAAGCTATGACACAATCAGCACATAGTTTAATTCCACGGCAAGACTCAGGCCTTGGCTCATTTGTCCCATGTTCATTCACCATCATATCTTTCCTTTAATTATAGGTGAAGCTTATGTTTTAAACTCTGTCCTTAGAATCTTTGAAGATCAAAACCCCCTATTGGAAATCCCTATTCATATTGTAACACCAAATGTCTTGTGACATGAAGCAGTTGTTTTACTAAAGATACACGGGAAGTGTATGCTCCGTTTAGATGAGATATTCATTGGTGTGTAATCTGCCAGTGGGAGATGAGACCTCAGAGTAGACAGTGCACACGCGCTGTTGGGAAACTTACGTGAAATATAAAGGTGGCTTTGTTATTCTCCGAGGTATATAGCAGCGGTTCCTAACCTAGCTTACAATTATGGAGTTGGGAACTGTACTGGCCATACAGCTTTCCTTTATATGGTTAATATATGATTCTAGGAATTACACAGGTAGAAGAACAAAATTCAAGTTCTTTCATCTCTGCTTAGAAAAATTTGCTTATTTGTTGCTGGGTGGTATAGATATGGGGAAGAAACAAGTAAATCTGTGACATCGTCTTTTCACAGCGATCATTTGCTCAATAGTAAAAGATAAATTTTCTTAGGTCCATAATTCAAATCTTATACCAGATGGGTTAAAGATATACATATGATAAACATAATTAGAAAAATGCTGGAAGGAAACAAAGTAGATGTTTTGGGTTAATGTTTAAGAGATTTTTTTTCAAGGTAGAAACTAAAAAGGGAAAATTTATTTTTTATTCTAATAACTTTTCTACATGTATATAATCAGTAAGATTAAAGGCAAAAACAAACTGGGAAAAATATGTGTTATACATGACAGAGAGCTTATGGCATTGATATATACATAAATTTTATAAATCAGTGTATTACTCCATTTTCATACTGATATGAAGAAATACCCAAGACTTGGTAATTTATGAAGAAAAAGAGGTGTAATGGACTCACAGTTCCACATGGTTGGGGAGGCCTCACAATCGTGGTGGAAGGTGACAGAGTAGTGAAAGAACGTCTTATATGGTGTCAGGCAAGAGAGCATGTGCAGGGGAACTGCCCTTTCTAAAACCATCAGATCTCGTGAGGTGTATTCACTATCATGAGAACAGCCCGGGGAACCTGCCCCCGTGATTCAGTTAGCTCCCACTGGGTCCCTCCCTTGACACATGGGGATTATTTGAGTTATAATTCAAGATGAGATTTGGGTGGGAACACAGCCAAACCATATCGATCAGTATGAATAGAATACCCTAATAGAAAAAATAGACCCTTTAAATTGAGCCAAACTTTCCAGAGAATATTTTGATAATAGGAACCAATAGTACAGACCTTTGATGCAGTATTACCTTGCAGAAAATTATTGTAAAGAAGTAAATGGAAAGTGTAGAAAGATAGTTATAAAAGAATTATTATGTCAGTGCTATTTATAATTGTAACAAACAAAGAGTGATCTAATTGTCTATAAATAAGGGATGAATTAAAAGTGCAGTACCTCAATATAGTCTAAGATTATGCAGCTGTTAAAAATGAGATTATATATTTACTGGCACAGAAGAGTGTGTGTGTATGTGTGTGTTTGTGTGTGTGTACAAAACTTGGGAGGGAAAAGCATGGTTGATCTTCTTTGTTTTTTTTCTGTGTCTTCAAAGTACTTGAATAGGAAATTGATCACTTTTACGATCAGAATATAAAGTATTAAAATGAGAATAGGTTTAACAAAGTACTTTTTTGGCACAATTGAAGAATTATCTTCATTTATGTATTTTGTGTGCATGGCAGATATATGTTTTAGCGTTTACTTTTAAAAAGTTCACAACTGGGCCGGTGGTTGTGGCTTAAGTGCCTGTAATCCCAGCACTTTGGGAGGCTGAGACAGGCGGATCACTTGAGGTCTGGAGTTCGAGACTAGCCTGGCCAACATGGCAAAGCCGCAACCCTACAAAAAATACAAAAATTAGCCGGATATGGTGGCACACACCTGTATTCCCAGCTACTCAGGTGGCTGAGGTGAGAGACTTGTTTGAGCAGAGGTGGCAGAGGTTGCAGTGAGCTGAGATAATACCACTGCACTTCAGCCAGGGAAACAGAGCGGGACTCTGTCTCAAAAAAAGAAAAAATAGTTTGCAACCATTTACCTTGAAATTAGATATTACTTTACCTATCATTGGCAAAGATGGCCAAAGTTACCGGGTTTATGTTTCTTAGAAAGTGTGGTGTCTTCTATGAGCACGACCTGCCTCCAAAATTGAGTTGGTTGCATTCAGAAGACCTTTCAGGATTAGGTAATTAACTAATGAGTAAGAACTAGCAGTAGAAGTGGATAGATGGAAATCAAAGATATGAATCCTGGTGAAAGAATATCCTGCAGCCCTGTATTTGCCTCAAAATGCCATTGCCTTTCCTAAAGATAAATAAACATGGAAATGCCGTTTCTTCTTCCATAGGTCTTTTGTCTTTTGGAGTAAAAGAGTCTGCTTGGGTAAATAAAGTCTTCACAGCTGTTAATATTCTGGTCCTTCTGTTTGTGATGGTTGCTGGATTTGTGAAAGGAAATGTGGCAAACTGGAAGATTAGTGAAGAGTTTCTCAAAAATATATCAGCAAGTGCCAGGTAAAATATTTGAGATTTTTTTTTCTCCTTCTTGTTTAAGAAAATATTTTCAGTGGGTATATTAGGTCATTTTTACTCTGCTGATAAAGATATACCCAAGACTGGGTAATTTATAAGGAAAAAGAGGTTTAATGGACTCACAATTCCACATGGCTGGGGAGGCCTCACAATCGTGGCAGAAGGTGAAAGGCATGTCCTACCTGGCGGCAGACAAGGGGAGAGAACTTGTGCGGGGAAACTTTCCCTTATAAAACCATCAGATCTTGTGAGACCCACTCACCATCACAAGAACAGCAAAGACCTGCCCCCATGATTCACCATCTTCCACTGGGTCCCTCCCACAACACGTGGGAATTGTGGGAGCCACAATCCAAGATGAGATTGGATGGGGACATAGCCAAACCATACCAGAGGGCATATGTGAGTTTTCTTCTAGAGCAATGGTTCTCAAATTTCTTGCTTCTGAGACCCTTCTGAGAGGCTGTTCCATTCCAAGACCACTCTTCCTAGACACCCTTGAAACTTAAAGGTATAGGTGTGCTCCCTGTGGAGCAACTGTGTGAACCCATGCACCTGCTGGTTCCCAGCCTCAAGCTCTGCTCCGGGTTTAGGGGAAGAGCAAGGGAAGATCCTAACCATTGGGAAAACTTGATCTTTCCCCCTAGCAGTTTGCCACTGCTAAATAACAACGAGTATTTTTGACTCCTGCATCCTTTAGTTCTTCCTTCAGGACCACCGTTCAGTTTTATTGTATTCTTTTAATGCTTTAGTAATCTTCAGACCTTGTTTTTTGGAGAATGTTTTTAGTTGCACAAGCAGACATAAGATTACACAAATACCTATTGCATGGAATGAGGTACACCTGTATGTTTTTCTTGACATATGTTGTTTAGTCTTTCCAATAAGGGAAAAAATTGGTATCCTATAAACTTACATAGTTTTTTAACATATAATAAAATATTCAGTTTCATTATTATCAATCAAGACGAGGATGTTTTGTTTCATGTTTTTAAATATCTCCTTAGGGAATGTTAGAGACATGTACTCTGCCGTACTCGATGCTTTATGAGTTGAAGAATGGATTCTCCTAAGTATAAGCATCCACGAGAAGAGGAGGTTTCTGGTCTTTGTCGTCCCAGAGCATGGCTCATATGTGGAGTCTCTGCTCTCAACATCCTCCCTGGCTGTGGGTTCAGCTGGAGCTGGTGTGGGGCTTCTGCATATGCTATCAATCAGCCTGTAATTGGGTGTCAGTGATGCAGGAGGGTCATTTTTAGGTACCATTGTTAGGGGCACCACCACATTCTGTAGCACAAGGTGAAGAGAGTAAGGTTTTAGTTTTATGTATATCAGCTTCAAAGAGCTGATAAGCACAACCACCTTCCAAGGATATAGTCTGAGACAAGTTACCAGAGGGAGAGTTTTCTGTCAAAGTGACTTTCCACTGTGTTTGTTCTCTTTCTTAGAGAGCCACCTTCTGAAAACGGAACAAGTATCTATGGGGCTGGTGGCTTTATGCCTTATGGCTTTACAGGAACGTTGGCTGGTGCTGCAACTTGCTTTTATGCCTTTGTGGGATTTGACTGCATTGCAACAACTGGTAAGAGCAGTGTCTTGGCTCAGTGTAGAAGAATGGGTGTTCCTTGTCATGCACGAGTACCCGTGTGTGGCAGCAGAGGGTCCAGGAAAGAGAGATGGGTTTGGGATAAGAAGGGCACGAGTTCCAGACCCAGCTGTGACACGTGCTGCCGATGACAGAAAGAAAGAATGCACCTCTCTGCCCTTGGTTTCCAGTTGGTAAGTTTCGGAGAGCAATTCCTATTCCTCAGATAGTAGGAAGATTCCCTAAAATAATGCATATGAAAAATACTTTGCAAGCTATTGATTACTTGATAAATGTTAGTCATTATTACCATCCCTAACCTTCTGTCCAGAAGTGCTGTCACGTGGGCCATACATGATGATCATGTTCTTAAATGGTCTCTTCGTTAGTGGGAGAAAAAATATTGTGCCTGTTCTTTCTGTGTTATCTTATACAACATCATCACCTTGCCAGAATCACTCTCTAAATGTCTCCTCTATTTTTATGTCTTGGTATGGCCGTTCAATTGACCACGTTTTGAGTATTCAATCTCATTAGTGTACAAAGTATACTGTTTTTTAAACTGAAATTAGAACTTCATACAAATAGATGAAATAACTTCATCTGAAGCCTTCATATTTAAGGGCCTCCGGAATGGCACGGCAGTCATTTAATCTCTGTAGATGAATCATTTTCCAAATGGATTAAGACTGCTATTCTGTCTCTAAACACTTAACAGTGCTGATATGTTATGGATTTTGGTTGATTGGTTGGTTTTTTTCTTTCCTGGAGATAGGAAACTGACTGGCATGACTTCTCCTTTTCTCCCTCTGGGAATTGGTTTTTTATGTAATAAGAAAGTACCTTCAAGAATAGAGGAAATTTCATGTAAAACAGATGGATCGACGGGGCGCGGTGGCTCACGCCTGTAATCCCAATCCTTTGTGACGTTGAGGAGAGTGGATCACTTGAGGCCAGGAATTACTTGAGGCCGGGAGTTAGAGACTAGATTGGCCAACATGGTGCAAAGCATTTCTCCTAAAATACAAAAATTAGCCAGGTGTGGTGGCGCACACCTGTGGTCCCAGCTACTCAAGAGGCTGAAGCAAGAGATTTGCTTGAACCTGGGAAGCAGAGGTTGCAGTGAGCCAAGATCACGCCACTGCACTCCAACTTGGGCAACAGAGCAAGACTCTGTCTCAAAAAAATAAAGTAAAATAAAATAAAATAGATGGACCAAGATAAGAAAAGAAAAGGGACAAAAACAGAGAAGAATTACCCTGGAGAAAAGGAAGAATTTTGCACAATTTAATTTCTTTACCTATGAATGTTTTATTAAGCATACACATCTTTTGTTTATATTTCCTTAGGTGAAGAAGTTCGGAATCCCCAGAGAGCTATTCCCATTGGAATTGTGACGTCTTTGCTTGTTTGCTTTATGGCCTATTTTGGGGTCTCTGCAGCTTTAACACTTATGATGCCTTACTACCTCCTCGATGAAAAAAGCCCCCTTCCGGTAGCATTTGAATATGTGGGATGGGGTCCTGCCAAATACGTTGTGGCAGCCGGTTCTCTCTGCGCCTTGTCAACAAGGTACATTGCATGGCCTTTGGGGCAGGGGCTGTTTGGGATTCTACAAAGTAGTCAGTGTCTTAAAAATTTGCTTTTGTCTATTTAAAAAGTATCCTAATAGAAACAAAATATTGTGCAACTTTGTATTTATTGATTAGCTTGCTCCGAATTGCCATATTTAAATCTTTTTTTTTTTTTTTTTTTTTAAATCTTTTTTTTTTTTTTTTTTTTAAATTTTATTTTTTGAGATGGAGTCTTGCTCTGTCGCTCAGGCTGGAATGCAGTGGCGTGATCTCAGCTCACTGCAAGCTCCGCCTCCTGGGTTTATGCCATTCTCCTGCCTCAGCCTCCCGAGTAGCTGGGACTACAGGTGCCCGCCACCTCGCCCGGCTAGTTTTTTGTATTTTTTAGTAGAGACGGGGTTTCACCGTGTTAGCCAGGATGGTCTCGATCTCCTGACCTCGTGATCTGCCCGTCTCAGCCTCCCAAAGTGCTGGGATTACAGGCTTGAGCCACCGTGCCTGGCCTTATAGGATAAACTCCCCTGCTGTTAGTTCAGAGTCAGTTTTTGAAGATAGTGATGGTCCAGGCTTCAGTAGAAATATATGTGGCATTGATACACACACACACACACACACATATATATATCTGTGGCACATAGTCATGTATATAGGCATTATGAAACTTCAGGATTCTTGTCCTAAAATGTTTCTCCATCGGCTTTGGTGATACTTGTAGTTCTGCAGGCATCTGAGAATGTATATACAGACCTTGCATTTGCTACACTCTGTTTGAGTAATACTGAGCCTATGTGAGTGAACTCTTATGCTCTGTCTTTTAAAAATATAGCGTGCTTTTTGTTGTGAAACATGGAGACTTTTTCTTCTTAGCACCAATCAGTGCAGTTGGTCTAGAAATAGAAATTATCATTCTTAAATAAATGGTGACAATTCATATAAATATGTGAAGAGAAAAGGGTCATTGAATCCCAAGTTTTCAGATTCTCAGTAGCTGCTTGTTTGAATACTTTAGAACTCGTTTCCCAGGTTTCCTGAGCTACCCTCATTTCAATTAACATATGATTATGCGTAAGATGTTTCATTCTTGTTTTTTATCATGCCATATGGTAGAAGAGTCTTGCAAAGAGAAAATTAATCTTTTTCACCAGATTAGTAATTTTTTAACTGAAAATAAGCTTCTAAAAGTCTGAAACTAGAAAAAGAAGTCTTTTAGTGTAATTCACCAGCCTAGCTTTATTTTTCCCCTTCAAACTCCCTTTTATTTTCTATGTATTAAGAAAGTACCTTCAAGAATAGAGGAAATTTCATGTACAATTTTAAATTGAAATTTGAACTTCCTACAAATAGTCTTTTCTTTAATTACATATCATTAAGACAATATTAAGTAGCAATTAGACGCTCTTGGTTTCTCAGCCATCTGCTAGTGTTGAGGTTTATTTATTTATTTGAGACAGGGTCTCGCTCTGTCAAGCAGGCTGAAGTGCAGAGCATGATCATAGTTCACTGAGGCTCGAACTCCTGGGTTCAGGTGATCTCCCCAGCTCAGCCTCCTGAGTAGCTAGGATACAGGCACGTGACACCACACCTGGTTAATTTTTTATTTTTTATAGAGACGAGGTCTCGCTAAGTTCCCCAGGCTGGTCTTGAACTCCTGGGCTCAAGCGATCCTCCCACCTCAGCCTCCCAAAGTGTTGGGGTTACAGGCATGAGCCACCACACCCGGCATTGAGGTTTATTTTGAATAGCTTCAAGTAATTTCCAAAGTCTGAACTCTGAAGATACCACGCCCCCATGGCCTTAGAAGGGATGGGCAAAGATTCATCTGTGGCCAAGCTCAACAGAGCCTTATTAAAGATAAAGAAGGGCCAGGCATAGTGGTTCACTCTTGTAGTCCCAGTACTTTGGGACACCGAGGCGGGAGGATCACCTAAGGCAGAGAGTTCAGGACCAGCCTGGGCAACATAGCAAGGTTTGGTCTCCTCAAAAAATTCAATCAGTTAGCTGAGCATGGTGGCATGTGCCTTTAGTCCCAGTTGCAGTTACTTGAGAGACTGAGGTGGGAGGCTCGCTTGAGCCCAGGAGCTTCAGGGCACAGTGAGCTATGACTGTACTACTGCATTCCAGCCTGGGTGACAGAGTGAGACCCTGTTGCAAATAAAATAAATAAATAAGAAGGATTTTTAAATAAAATACTTTTTTTTGTTTTCTCTTACATGGTTATTTTTCACAACTAAGTAATGTGTGCAATGGTGCAGCTAGTAGACAAAAGTAATTCCGAGCATCTCAAGCAAAAACTGTCTTACTAGGCTTCAGTTGCTAACTTTTCATTGTGGTCCCCTCTGTATACTACATTTACGTAAATTGATCTTCTTTGCCTTTTTCTACGTTGATTATCTTATGATGCTGGGGATTATTACTAACTTGATCCAATATCAGGGTGCGTGAGAAAAAATACTGGTACAATAAATGCAAAAAATACATCATTATTGAATAAAGGTTGCAACTATTGCTTATGAAATAAAATTACTTAGTCTTTTCTTTAATTACATATCAAATTAATAATTTTATTTTCTAAGTTGTTGCTGCTAAAAATGTCTTAATAATATTGGTTTGGTTAAGTCTTAATTACTTAGTTTTAATTTGGTAATAATTGTGGGTACTTACAAATTCCTTGCAATATTGTTTTTAGTCTGGTAATTTTGCTGGGTACTACTTACCTGTAACAGAATAATGAATAGCACAATGGTAAATATTAGCAAATTTTTTAAATGCCCTATCATAGTGCATTTAAAAACAATGTGACATAATTATTAATATAAATAATATGACTTCATAATTACAAATGTCATGCTGAATATTATACAATTATTTTATTTCCGTTCGGGGATGTAATCTTGCATGAATGTTTGCCATACTGCATGTGTTTGCTTTTTATTCAGTCTTCTTGGATCCATTTTCCCAATGCCTCGTGTAATCTATGCTATGGCGGAGGATGGGTTGCTTTTCAAATGTCTAGCTCAAATCAATTCCAAAACGAAGACACCAATAATTGCTACTTTGTCATCGGGTGCGGTGGCAGGTGAGAGAGAGTTGACTTTTCTTAAGAAACGGGGGATCTTTTTCGTCAAGGACTCTGCGTTAAAAATACAAAGCTAGGTGGTTTTCTGTTTTGGTTTACAAGAAGTTCAGTCACTTTTTTTGTGAATGTTTCCTATTTTGAATTTTTTTAGTTCTGCATTTTCGTGTGTCCAGTCTTTACCTGTGCGTACCTGTCTAGAATAATCCTTAAAATAACTCATGTGTGAATTTTGAATTTTTCTGTTCTAGTCTTCTGGGCTCTATGTTCCCTTTACCCCGAATTCTGTTTGCCATGGCCCGGGATGGCTTACTGTTTAGATTTCTTGCCAGAGTGAGTAAGAGGCAGTCACCGGTTGCTGGCCACGTGACTGCGAGGGCATAATCTGAAGCGTTACAGACTTAGGCTTCTTGAGCATTGGATGAACATTGTAATCGCATGCATGGACTTAGAAGAGGGTCTGCAATGCTGTGCATGTAAGTTTAAAAAAAAAAAACACAAATTCACTGGGTAAATAGCGTACGGCATTGGTGTATGTACATGAAAATTGTGTTGGCGTTTTGGTTATACTGATAGTTCATGCTTAATTGAGCGGGTCGGTGGATTTTTTTTTTTTTAGTTATGTTACTATTTTGTTTTTAATATTTTAGGAGCTCAACGAATTACAAAGGTGTTGAGAGAGATTGGCTCTCGAGCTAAATATCAGATGAATTGTGCTTTTGCTGGGAGAAGTAAGCGCACGAGCTGATTAAATATATGTGTGGGTGTGTGTGGGTGTGTTGTGTGCGGGGGGGTTACTAAGTTTCGATTAAGTGAATTCTTAATTTTTTGAAATATTTAACTTTTAAAATTAAATGGATTGTGTTGGTCTAGGATAAAGTTGAATATTGCTAAAGGACCATAGGAATTTTTTTAACATGCGTAAGCTTTACCTGTGTATTTAATGTAAGAAAGTGTCCAAATAATTGTACGCTTGGGTGTTGTCGATCAGTGTCTCAGTATGGTGGGCATCCCTTGTTCCAGGGCCGATCAGTACAGCCAATGCTAGAACAGTTACAAACTGTTGTATATCCTCTGTGCAACCATCGCTCAGGATCGATTTTCCCTTCAACAGTTTGGTACTTAAATTATGTTCAGAAAATCCCAGCATTACTAGGCTTTTTGGCACCATCTTAATAATCCGTGTAAAAAATACCTGTTTGCCAGATTCTTATCTCATCAGAACAGTTTCAGTGAAGAATTTAGATCCAGACAGGTCGCACCTTTAAGAAGGTACTGTTGCAGAAGCAAAAGAAAAAGAAAGACCTTTAGCAACCTTTTTACAATTAAAATAAACGAACAATCATGGCAGCTAGAAGTTCAAACCAAGAGTGTCAATTTCGTTGGAGGGCTCTGAATGTGTTGGGAAATCTAGGGCTGAAGAAGCTACTGCTTCATTCTTGTGTAAAATGATTTTTTTTTTCAGGATCAGAATGTATTTGTTTGAACACTCTCACTTTGTAATATTGCTTCCTGCTGGATAAATGCTGCCCTTTCTTTTTTTTTTCTTCTTTTTTTTGGACCGCGGATCTCACTCGTCGCCCAGGCTGGAGTGCGCAGTGGGCCGCGATCTCAGCTCACTGCAAACTCCCACAGCTCGCTGGATTTAGCGAACCGTCACTCTTCCGTGCCCTCAGCCTCCAGAGAAGCTGGGACTGCAGGCACCCCTGCCCACCTGCCCTCGCGCTCATTTTTTGTTGTATTTTTAGTAGAGACGGGGTTTCACCGTGTTTGCCAGGATGGTCTCGATCTCCTGACCTCGTGATCCACCCGCCTCGGCCTTTGAAAGTGCTGGGATTACAGGCGTGGGAGCCACCGCGCCCGGCGAATCTGGCCCTTTCTTAAACATATGTTAGACGGTCAAGCCACTTATTTTCTCAGGCCTAGGTTTCTGCCGCCCTAAAATGAAGGTTTGCCCTAGACGATGTGAAGCCTATTTTATTTTTAAACAACACATGTTAAACATAGTTTGTAAATATTTTTTGACAGTTGTACATTTTATTTAACTCATAAAAAATTTTCTCTTTCCAGTAAAATACT